GGTGCCATTCAAGACTTGCACTGACTAGTGACACGCATGTAAACAATAATGTCTGGCCCGGTATCAATGCTACACCTTCTTGGAACCCTCCGCCTTTAAGACATACAGGATATGTGTCTCTTACTGATAAGACACGGATATCTATTTTGGCCTTCCTTCCCCGAACTAAAACTGTGTTATTCTCTTTTACAACGCACTGGTAAAATCCACTGTCGCTTTCAGCTGAGCCGACGGTGACGCTCTCAATAGCCAATGTAAACAGAACATTGATATGTTGTTGCGTGTCATACTTCTCTAGACCCGTGTTTATTTCCATTCCGTCCTTATACCAGGACACTGTATGCTCAGGTCGATAGCTGATGACGTAACAGCGAAGATTAATAATCGTCCGATCGCCGTCGCTTACGGTATATATCTGGTCAGTGGGTTCGTGCAGTATGGTCGGTTTGTAGACGTTGCCCGTGGCGGCGATAGTATGATCTTGCGATGCCCCAAGCAATGTTATACACACTATAACTCTGCATAATTGTGTGGTAAACATGGTCTGTGAAATTCCGGCTACGTTAACCGTGTACGGCGGCAATGTGCACCGCATAAGAAACGCGGTGTGAGTTCTCCAAAGTTTCATGGGTCACTCAACTTTACGACGTTTCCTCGATCCGGGTATTTGTTTGAAATTTACACGTTTACAATTTGTGACGTCACTTTGCGTATTGTATATACGGCATGTCATAACTACACATAGGACTTCAACTTCAACTTCAGCTAGGTGGTTAGCCACGTCTGTGCTATATTCCGTCCAGTTTTAATGGTTTTTCGGTAAAAACATGGCAGTATGGTCAGTACTAAATAGCTAATTCAATCTTCACATAATGAAAGCAATTGAATGGGAAACACCTTATGTAGACTGACTCACAGCAAATGTCAAGAAAGCATTTGAAAACACTCATCAATCACTACATGGCCTCCCTACACATATACATGTACTCGTATTTGCAATATGTCACGATGCTCATAGTCGGATGTGTACACCGCCCCTAGCTTACGTACGATCTCGTAAATTTTGAGTTATTTGCATTCCTGTTTCGGTTACTATGCCTTACAAGACCTCTTCCCTGTGGTCTACCAGACATAAAATATCCCAATAAATAAAAAAACTCACAACTTCAGTTTCTAGCAGGAACGGACACTATATAAACAGACGAAACTAAATATTTGACTGAAATGGTTCAAAATGATGATTAATGAACATTTCAGGCTGGTTTATACTTCAAATGGAAACACAACACGTGACTATGTGCATTTTCTCCAGATGAAAGGCGTAAACATTTCTCTAATCTCGGAGTCCAATGTATGTTACAATGATGGGAAACATCTTTGAAGTTGTGACAAAACGCGTTGTCGGTTTCAGGATTGGTTTCATATTTTCAAGAAGATAAGAAAGCTATATATGAGAATACTAGTATTTTAAATAACATTAATATTATTATAATTATACTGAATTTCAATTTGGTAATTTAATACTTCATTGTTTTTATATTCACATTACTTTCATCCTCTACAAGATTTAGAAATATGTATGTGCCACTAGAGGGCGAAACACATATCACAGCACAGGTCAAGAGTCCTGCTGTGGGCGTGGATGCTTTTATTGTTTGAAATCTCTACTACGTGATCGTTTTGTATTTGAATGCGTCATCGATTTTATTTACTCATTATGAAATTATCTTTAAAAAAATAAAAAATATCAATTTACTGAATAAAAATAACTATTAAAGACAACTAGAAATGAACATATTAAAACCATGTAGGTTCACGTTATAACTGAACATGATTGCTAACAAATTTCGTGGCACGATGCGTGTGTGTATGTGTCGACTCGGATGGGATATTCTACTAAAGAACCTAAAGAATTTCTTTGAAACATAACCTGTTCGGAGACCATGTTTTATATGTCAAAACTAAGGGGCAGACCATTTGATATCCTGGGGGGGGGGGAGATGAAGCCTACTTGTTTCCACTATCTGATATGGAATTATTTTTTTCAGCAGACCTTGTCTCTAATTTTTACATGCATATAGTTTAGGATTATATTTTCAAGCATTGTCATAGAATTTTTGTGTTCACAAAATCTTCCTTCCCCTCCAGAATATCAATTGGTCCGCCCCTAATAGATTGCACAGCCATGGTGGTATAAACACGCCATGCACTAACTAAACAATACCGGTACGTACAATAGTGTCTGGAAATATAAAGACAGCGATATCACTACAAGTGGGCGCAACCAATGGTTTGTAGCACTGTGACTCGTATTGAACTGACATAATGATGAAACACTGTCTTTGTGTTCGAATTATTTAATCGCTTCTACGTAGAGCTCTTGCGTGCTAACCCATGTTGAACTAACTGGTCATGATCATGCCCATGTGACGAAGAGTACAGTTCTACGCAACTAATTTATCGACTGTAAGTATTAAAATTTAAATAGGGTTAATAAACTCGTGCTTCCTGTTTACGTCAAGATTGTCCTGTGTAATCGATGGAGATAGCATAGTTAAGTTTCATTCCTGGGGTCAAAGTTCATTCAAAGGTTAAAGAGCGAAGCACGTAACACTCCCACTACACATTGCTTTGCGTATGTGTGTTGATCCGAACTTATTGTTCACTTGGTGTTGGTTTTATACAGATGTACAGTCATGTAACACATACAGAGATATCGAATACATTATTAAGTACATTAGTAACGCTACCACTTCATGAAATTTACACTCAAAATTATTCTAAAAAAGTCATGTGGTTAGGACATGGTTTCTTGTATTCGTAAATTATTTGTAGCGCAAATCCAATGAAAATACAGTTTGGTCAAAGTACATCCAACACAGATGCGAACATCGAGTTACGAAAACAGCGTGTTACAAAACTGATCACGCCAATATTTATGAAACCACGCCCAAATTATAACTCGAGGTTCACTTAACAGTTAACAAAACTTCTGTTTAGGGGCAACATAAATTGTTTATGTTGTTTACGTCCACACTTAGTAACTCGAACTTTAGTTAACAGTTAACCGAACTTCGAGTTATGAGCAACATAAATTTGTTATTTTGCTTAACGTTTTATGTTTCCCGTAACTCGAGGTTAGGTTAACAGTTAATTTAAAACCCGGTTATTAAACTTGATCGTTAAACAAAACATCAAATCTATTTTGCCCGTAACTCGATGTTCGGCTAACTGTTTATTAAAGTTCGAGTTACTAAATGTTCAACAAAAATAAAAATATATATATATTGCCTATAACTTGAAGTTCTGCTAACTATTAATTAAATAACGAGTTACCATTTTGGGCATGGTTTCTAAAATATGGGCGTAGTCATTTGTGTAACTCGATGTTTTCGTAACTCGAATAATTCAGCATCACAATATCGACTAGGTGCCCTGCCAGTCCTTACAAAAGATAACATTTCCAAGTCAAACACCCTATATAATAATAATAATAATAATAATAATAATAATAATAATAATAATAA